ACTTGCAGTTGATTGAGTCATGGTGAGAGCAGTGATCGTGCTACAATCTGCACTTATTCAAGGAGAGTAGGCCACCCGACCTCCATTTTAAATCACAGAATCAACCGTTTTTTTTTCTTTCTTGCCTTTAGATGGTACACTGCCCTGTCTTCGGCTTTGCATTTCCTGTCAGTCAATAAACTGTTTCCCGAGTCCGACTGACCGCTCATTTCGGTTGCCCAACCATCTAACTGATGGCTGTTTTCTGCTGGGAATTTTCCTCGACTTCCTCTGAAGCTGGAAATTCCGCTTCAGAGTGGCAAAACACCATGACCTCGACTCAACTGTTGGCCATCTCCCGATAACTGGGTCCGGTTCCTAAATGTCCTGCATGGCAATGACATGTATAACTGAAAATTGCTCCCTCTCTCTCTCTCTTCTTCTCACGTAAAGTGCCTTGTGAATTGTTACAGTCCGACTGGATTTGACTTTGTTTCGTGTGTGCTTTCTGTGGAGCCTTGTGTCTTGACTTCCGAGAAGGATGGCCTCCTGTGTTTCCGCTTCAAATGCCAGATCAGAAGGTAATGGCTTTGCAGAACAATAGCCCTGCGTATTTATTTCTGTAATAATACAGAATTTTTATATAAAATGGTTCACATTCAGAAGCTGGGAACGTTTACTGTAATAACAACTGTGGGTGACGTATTCGAGGTCAAATTCATACTTCGAGCAACGGCCTGCATACTCGTATCTGTGATAGATGAAACGTAGCTATGTTTAATGGTCCAGTACTACATATGCACAAGAAATTTTGTGTAAAGTTTAGTGATCTAAAGTAAATATGACATCATCTTACATAGTACAGCATTGGTCAGGATATTTTCAGAGTTAGTTTGCTGCTTCCGATCTAATAAAGCTTTAGCAGCGTTATTTAAAACATTACACGTTAAATTCCAATTTACTTCTTGGAATTAGCAAAGCTTGGTAAAACACGTAATATCTGCTCTACTAGGGACTTGGCTATAGAGCATGCGTTCCTACTAAGCGGGAACCTTCGAACTGGGTTAAAATGTCTGGGTTGATCATTGTGTGAATACTTCCTGAAGGTATCGACCGTCTGAACCACAACCTTGGACACAGTAATAGCTTCCCCTTTCCACATAACGCATTGTGAGAAAATACTAGGATGCGCATTTTTCCATAAAGGTTTTCCTTTAGTTTCTATCCAAGTCCACGAATGCTTAGTCGTAAAAGTCAATAAAAATGATGTGGACAGTGTTTTTATCTTCAGAAGCTTGGTTTCAGTTGTGTGTTAACCGCAGCACGTTTGTCGTGCAGGGTTGTCGTTTCCGATATCCATGTTGACCATTGAAAAGCCGTCTTTCGCTTTAAATCTCTGCATCAATTCCCTTTTTATCCCCATTTCCGTGCCTTTAAAATGAATGCACGTCAGTCTAATTGGCTTGTATATTATCACTAATTCTGCGAAAATTCCCATTTTACAATTGAAAAGTCACTAAAATTCAGCTACAGTTTTTTGGAGGGAAACCAATAATTAACATCAACAAACTGTATATTTAAGGCCCAAGGGGCCCTTTCACTACAAACTTAGTGCTGTGGTAAAAATAGATACAAAACTGGCAAGACGGTGCCGTAGTATGCGCAAGATTCCACTCGCAAGGAATGGTCAAAATGGCTAGTGACTCGGATGGATTTGTCCAGTTCTAACTGAAGCATGGAAACAAATGAAGCAAGAGCTTCACACTGCCTGCGCCAGGTACCACTGAAGATCTGCAGTTAGGCCAGCCTGCCTCACGAAACCCACACTATATTCCATGGAACTAAGTTGAGTTTAATTTGTTTGAGGGAAATTTAAGGGAAATTATTTTGTTATGGGAAAACCATGACGCCTGAAGAATTCATGGGTATAGTAACATGAAACGAGGCAGTAATTCAATGCAATTCAGTATCCAGTTTAAGGAAAAATAGTGCTCGTGGAATGAAAATATAAGCATGGGGTAGAACCGTCATTTTGATAGGAGTACATGAGGGGTTGAAACACTCTCCGTCATGGGGAAATCATATAATTGCGGAGGTTGCGCAATAACAAGGGAGGCCAGACAGAGGATAACATCTGGGGTCGCATCAGTACGTTTAGAGGCTAAACGAGGGGCCGTAGAGGTTGCGCTAATTATCACTCAAATGCCCGAGATGAGGCCATGATACTCCTCCATTTATTACAAAGTCCACTGACAGGGGTAGGGGAAATAGAAGAACCCACCACGATCGTCAACAGTGCGTTGCGGATCGATACAACGGCGAGCGTTAATAAAATGTGTGAACTAGGGTTAAAAGTCGCGGTAGATACGATGGCTGACAGGATCGCTGTAATTTACATATGGTTAAACAGAACCGACCGCTAAGACCTTCGACTGAGTATGATGGTTCACGATTGACCGAGGAAATCACCGTGACGTTTGCATTTTTGGGGTCCAAGGATGTTACAGGAAAAGAAGTATCTCTCAAGTGTCTGTGAATGTACAGGTGACTGTCAGAGGGCCTATGTGATTAGTTGTTAACAGTAAATAACTTGTTTAAAAGGGTCACCAAAATATAGCAAGTGGTACTATAAGCATAACAATTTACTTGCGTGAGCATCAAAATGGCATTGTTCGGATGGTTTATTTTAAATTAATTGAGGGAATGTAGGTTTCTATGTACGTATTTTTGGAGAGCAATGTAATCAACTCTCCTTTTAAAACCTGAAATAGTGTTGGCCGCAAGCGTCCCATTTGGTAGTGAGTCTCAAGGCCGTATTATTCGTTGGTTAAAGAAAGAAAATTTGAGGTGCAGTCGAGTTCGTCCGCTTGTGACTTTGTAAGGATGACCACGCAGGTGAGATGTGCAAGCAACTTCGAAGAAATCCTCCGGTCTCAGGTAGGAATCACGGCCCTGGATAATCCAAAATGTCCAAAGTAGGCTACATTATAAGTGTCTGTAAAACAAGGGAACTTATCCAAGCTTTTTTAGTCTGTCCTCGTACGATAAGGCCTTAATATCGTCGACTATCTTAGTCGCTCTCTGGTGCACCTGATCGAGAAAGTCAACATCTATCTTTATCCACGGTATCCAAACTGACATTCCGTAACCTAAATGTAATCTCAAAAAAACTGACCATTTTTCCGGAGATACGAGGGACAATGATTAAAATGCACGCCTGATCCAGTGTAACGTCCAAATTGCCCTCTGAATAGCTTTCTTTTAGTACTCTGATGGCATCAAGTTCATGATTGCTGAGGTGCCCAGATCTTTAAACGTTTCACTCTTTCATTGCAGTGTCATTACTAAAACACTTGTGTTTCTGGGATAAATTTTGACTAGGGTTCATTTGCAAGGGATGCATTAAAACTAAAAAACCACGTGGTCAACCAGATGATTAGTTTGATGATACCCAATTTTATCCTTTTTGCGTCGTCAGCACAGCTAACTCCAGCCCATATTTCATTACATTGATGAAGTGCATTCCGGTGCCCCGCTCGGCAAAAGTGACCCTGTGACGCTACTGTGGGACTATTTGCTGTATTCTCAACGTCAGAAGACAACAAAGATCGAAAGAAACGTATGGAAGACATATTTTAATGTTATTAAGAACGCCCTGATGTCCGTGAATTGGGACTGTTTGTTCAACGGGAATACAGAGGAAGACTGGAGATAGTTAAAAACGATTCCATTAGATCTACTTGAGAGCTGTTGTCTGGCGAAGGTACAAAAGCCGCCTAGTGGACAAGAAGCCCTAACAAACATTTAAAGAAGGAAAATAAGAAATGTAAATTATCCAGGGAATATGGGTCATCAGTGCAAATAGATGAATTCCGTCGCCAACGAAATGCTATCAAAAATTGAGCCGGCAGGGAAGGGATAAATAAATATGTTCATTATATCTGTCACAGTTTCTCAGAAAATAAGAATCAAATTTGTGTTTAAAAATGTCAACACTGTCTGAAAGGACCACCTCGTCAGGGAGTCCATTCCACGCTCCGTTGACCCTCTGCGAGAAGGCGTTCCTTCAGACTTCCATATGGGCCGGCTTCCTCTGCAGTTTAAAGGGATGACCCGCAGATGAGCCGTCCGAGCCAATTCGAAGAATTCGTCAACTTCTAGGGCGCACTCACAGCCTCTTACAATTCGGTAGGTTTGGATGAGGTCACCGCCGAGATGCCAATACTTGAGAGGAAATAGATCAAGTTCGGTCAATCTGTCTTCATAAAGCAGATGACCAAGATTCTTGACCATCTTGGTAGCCCTCGCCTGCATTCGTTCCAGCTGCGGATATTCCTTCTTGAACCCCGGACGCCATACCTGGACGGCATACTCCAAGTGGAGCCGAACAAACGCTCCGTACGTTTTCACGAAGAGTTGCTTGTCGATGTGGCCGAATCTTTGCCTAATCTTAAACAGCACCTTGTTGCGCGTTTAACTACCTATACACACTGTGAAGGTGGTTTAAGCAAGGAGTTTATTAGAAAACCGAGGTATTTTTGTTCTCCCATAGTTAAAAGGGGTTGCCCACCGAGGAGGTATTGGAAGGAATCATCCTCCTCGTTGGTCCTTCTAGTACAGAGTCTTAAGCCCACACACTTACCAACGTTGAAATTTAAGAGCCAAAGAACAGACCAGCTGCTAAGTCGATTGAGACTATTTTGAAGTGCTTTCTATCGGCGTCAGACCTGATGGCTATCCAGAGATTGGCATTGTCAGCAAACATGGCGCTGTAACCGAGGTCCTTGCAGCGTCTGTGGTAAAAAGAGAGCTGCAAAATCTCAAAGAAGCGAAATCATCCGGTCCGGCCAATGTAACGGTCAAGTTCCTCAAAGAATTGGTGAGCGAGCTCTCAAAACCGCTAATGCATATCTTCCGTTCGTCATTTGAATTAGGAACATTGCTATCAGAATGAAAGACGACAAATAGATACCCGATGTACAATGGTGGGGCTCGAACGGAGGTCTGCAGCTATCGGCCCGTCAGCCTAACCTATATCTGCCGTAAAGATTGAAAATTATAATTAAAAAGATGGCAATGAAGTTTACGGAAGAAAAATAATTACACTCAGGTCTCCAACACGGCTTCAGACAGAACCATTCTTGTCTTTTCAGCCTGATTCTCTTGACCGAGCAGTGGACACGCACACTGCACGAAGATTATAGGATTGATGTCCTTTGCCCTGATTTCAAGAAGGCGTTTAATAGCGCCCACATAAACGTCTAATGATTTGGAAATAAGACGTAGATCACAGACATTCTAACAAGGCGGTCGCAAATTTTGTGCAGCAGTGCCTCGAGGAAAACTGCTTCCCACGTTCTTAATGGTGTCCTCTAAGGCTCCAGATTAAATTCGTTAATCTTCCTCGTCTATGTCGACGATTGTGTCGACGATCTAGGTTGCTGTGCCATCACATTCGCTGACGATTTCATACTCTGGAGAGCCATCAGTTCTGACGCCCACAGGCAAGCACTTCAAGAGAGTCTTAGCCGACTTAGCAGCTGATTTTCTCGTTGGCTCTTAAATTTTAAACGTTAGTAAGTGCGTGGTTTTAAGGCTTCGTACTAAAAAAGCCAGAGACGGGGATGATTCCTTCCAATACCTTCTCCAGGGGCGGCCCCTTTCAAAGGTTGATGAA